AAGCCTAAATCCTAAAGATCGCCTTTTCGCCACCCTGGACACTACGAGGCACTCTGCCAGGTGATTTGACGAATGTATTTGTCAAGCAGATGTTAAGAGTTTAGCCGTTGCCTCTCTTCAAGGCAGCCGAAGATTTTTATTCTTCATGTAACTTCGTTAAATAAGAATGGTTTGGAAGTTTGAGGCTTGGCGAGGGCAAGAAATTGGAGTCAACGATACCATTTGTCGCTAGTCGTGGGTAGGATCGCCTGCTTCTTTGGAACCTTCGGATACTTTGGAGGGATCACTGAATTGAGAAAGGAAAACTGTAGTGTGGTTGGGTGATAAAACGATAAAGCGCCGGCATATTCTGCTCCTAGCTTTTAGAATCGTACAGTTCGTCGTATAATGAGATGAGGGCATTTAATGGAATGTAATTTTAAGTAGGTGTGAAGCGCTTTCCGAGAAACTGAAGAATCTTCAAAACCGCGACTCATTTTTTGTTATTTACGGGCAAATTACGATTGCCTCTCACCCTGAGCTTGAGAGACTGTGATTCAAAGAATTCACTTACCGCCACTTTGGGGCTGAATTCACTGACGCCACTTTGGGGCTTATCATAAGCTATGAGTGTTCCCCCTCCCAAGCAGATGCTTCAGCGGGCAGCTCAACTGGTAACAAGGAGGCAGAAGGACTGGGGAAAACAGCGGGTCAGCAGCCATGTGCCAGCCGAACTCTGTACCCTTTGACGAGCGTCCAAAGCGATGTGGGCTCGCGTTTTCGTGGAGCTGGCATAGATTGTAGTTTGATAAACAACCTTTTGTCGATCAATCTCTGTTTCGAATGCGGCCTACTTCCATACAGACTTGTTATTGCGTTTCGAATGCAGTCCCACATACATATAATCCCACATGAATCTGGTACCAGTTTACTGTCCGTGTAGAGTACAAAGTGTAGCTGGATTCGGTGCGAACCGATCAGGGGTTTGACTCGGACCACGCCCTTATTGAGCGGTTTTCTTGCCACTACACCACCTTTGCCTCATAATTAGTAGAGTGGCAAATATATACTTGAAACAATCCCAAAATAAGCAGACTGATGAATTGACCTAACACTTGCTTCTCTAAGAGGGTGAACATAGAGAGTAGCTTCTAATGATGCGATATGCCTGTTTAGAGCCGCTTCGAAGGAACAAAGCTTACTGGTGGCTTCACATGAGTGTTTTCACGTTTTTCTCAAAATGCGATGGGAAATTCCGGAGTTGACCGATATTGGTGGCAGCTGTGACATTCTTGCTTGTGCGTAGTAATTGATAGTGAATCAGTCTTTTCATATCTTATCAGAACGCGCACGTTGTCCAGAAAGGGGAAATCTCATTTTTCGAACCGGATGGAGACATTTGTTGATTGTTTAAGGAGGAGCTGTGCCCAGATCAGTTATATTCCTGACCATGGCATCCACTGTACTGGCACTTTTCCCGAAACTTTTAGAATGGCAACCAGCGCTGATACCCTTAGTATTGAGAGCTCTGAGAATTTCCTAGGAGCTTTATCAGCTTTTATCTCAGTAATCTCCTCTTTATTTCGTACAATTTTGTTTTGCATTTTGATTTTTCTTACCTATAGTGAAGTTTGTATTTGCCAGGATGATTTAGATTACTTTTCTAAAATCTGACACATAGAAATCCGCACTCAATCATCGTTGAGAGCTGGAATTTGCCTTTTTATTCTAAAGTTTCTAAAATTTCAGTCCAAGAATTTCAGGCTCCCGTCAGGTCGCAAAGTAGTGTTTACGGACACCATTGGATTTCTGAGTGATCTACCTATTCACCTGTTGGCTGCCTTCCAAGCAACACTCTCCCATGTGACGTTGGCTGTATGTCGGATAATCCTTTTGCTTTCTTGTGTATGGCTTATTACGGAGATCTCTTGGTAGTCTCAGTTTTAGGATGTCATCATTCATATTCGTGATCTGTCGAACCCGGACTGGCCCGCGCAAAGCGAAGACGTGGAATTGACCTTAGGACAGATTGGTCTGCCTCCGGATCGCTTAAACGATGTCATTGTGGTGGACAATAAGGTTGTATTCTAATACTTCTGCTAGTTTAGTTATCTTGAGGTCAACGAGTTATTAATCTGCATGGGTGGTAAGCAGCATGGGGGCATTGAAGGGAGCTGCGAAGAGTTTTTTGAGATGTGGAAGTGAAATTCGACTATTTGCTGATTCTTGTGTCATATAATCAAAAAATGGGATTTTCTTGAATCAGGTGCCCCTCTAAGCCCAGTGCTGCATAATAAACTGTCGTATATGATATCTGAAATTTTTTTACTTTTTCTTCCTATGATGCTTCCTTTTGCTGCTCCTTTACTTGACGGAAGTTGCATTGAACAAGGTTTTACATCGTTTTTGCTCATTATTTACTTACAGATTGACTTAGATGGGGCACCGTTAACATCTTCTTCAGGTGCAATGAGGATCTCGTGTAAAACTTCTGAAGGGATAGAAAATCTCATTGAGAAGGTAGACGAAGTAAGTACTCTTTTCAGTCGGATCCTGTGTTTGTATGTTGTTATGTTTCATATACCCGGTTTCTTTACAGTAACCTGTCTGTTATTGAACGTAAGGGAGAAGGAGTTCCAGTTGTAGGCTGCGCTTATTTAGAGTCCTCTTTAGGGCCGTAGAGGGCCTCTTGAACCGGAGATAGCGGTAACCCCGCTGATAATGTGGAGCTGCTGAACACCCAGTTCGCAACGATTTATGAACTCTTCGTAGTGCTCAAGAACTAAAACACGCTCAACGGCGATAAGCACTATTTCTAACAGTAATAAAGGGCCTCGGTCCGCTCCACATCAGTTTTTTGGTGAAGAAAATGTGCTCGACACCAGTTTTCTTGAAAGAGGGCCTTTGGCCGCTTCACATCAGTTTTCAGAGGGGTGGGGACGTGCCACCGTCTCACCAATCCCAATAGTGCACCTTGTCTTGAATGAGTTGGCTCTCCTTCCATTGTTGGTACGAGGCCCGCCTGGGTTGTTGGAAAGCATAGAGTTGGACGTCAAGGGGTGTCCACTAGGCGTGAGCTCCGTACATATAGTCCTCCAGAGGTAATTGAAACAGTCGGCGCTGAACCCGTGGCGCATAAGAATGGCTGTGATCACTACTGTGGATTGCGTCCTTTGTACTCCAGGTACGTGCTACCGTTGGAGTTTTCCTACCACTTGAGCGCAATGTTTTCGAGAAATTTCCTTGTTTCCCCCCTCGAAGGCTAGTGCGACCCCCTCCCTCCAGCGGCTAGCTGCGCCCTCCCCTTCTTGTTGAGGATTTTCAACGTAAGACTTGCCCTGTTTGTAATGATTCTGCTATTGCCAGTCTTCCCTACTGGATGCGCTCTCTTACAGATGGTTCTTCGTGCAACTGGCTGTAAGCTTCGAAGACTTTCATTGAAGTGCTCGTCTCCAGCCATTACCTACTTGTACAAGTGAGTGTTTGTGTATTCTCCGTAATCATGCTGACAAGCAAGGCTTGGGGCAAAATCATGGAATCGTTTCGATGTGAGGGCGCATTTCCATCGATTTCGAGGTTTCGGGTTGGTGTGTAGCATTGAAACCACTGTAATCCCTTCTCAAAGTTCGTTGTTCCATCGCCGCTTTCGACATCCACAACACACCAGAAATAAAAGTAGATTACTTATTTGAATCAAAACTGAAATCCTATGCACCCTGTGTTCTAATCTTTGAGTAACCTAAATAAGCTGTTTAGGGAAGGCTTCGTGTCTCGAGAACCACGTGCCACTGGTCCGCACTGGTATTTGATGTGTTCATGAATGACGCCGAATTCGCACGGTTCCAGAAGTCTACCGGTGTACTGAAGCGCAAGTCATCCTGAACAATTTCATCTTCCTTTCGGATCTGCGATTAGGAGTTCGATTGCAAGGCTGTCATCGTCCCACTATATATAGTCCGCAAAGTATGCCTATAGCCGTGTGTGTATGTGTGTGTGTGCGTCCGTCAGTCTGTCACGAAATTCATGACGCGCGTCTTAGGTACGGCTGGTTCTGAGAAGTGATGTTCCGGGCAAAACGGTAGCACTATGCTAAGTCACAGAAAGTGGCAACAGCTGATAAGATTCGACAATAGGCCTCAGAACGAGAGGGTCACCAAATCCGTATGTGGGTCGCAAAAACCTTAGGATGTTGCTTCTAAGTGCTGATACGGTATATACGGTATATGAGACAGGACCACTGTTGTTGGGTGGCAGTGGCAGAGTGATGTAACAGTAGACTGGGGCCAGTGAGGGGCATTAGATTTCAAACGTCAGTCAATTTACAGTGCGTGTCAAAATAAAAATAGGAAGTTGGTTCCAACAAGTGATAGAGGGGATAAAGGGCAAACTCCTCGCTATTAACCAGTTCCTTTTGGGATGCGGCACGCGTCTCCATTCGGAATCTTAGCGGCTTTCTGAATGCGATGTGCCCTATACAATGATTTGCTGGGGCCAGCCGATGTAGAAGTCAGTGTTACCACGCTCCAATCTGGTGTCAATTTACCGTCCCAGGGGTTAGAGGGCTTGGTTTGCCGTGCGCGAGCCAATTCGGGATTTGACCCCCGAACGGTACCGTGGTGAGCGTACCACTTGCCACTACTCCGCCTCAGTATTGAGGTAACGGATAAGGATAACAACTGACAGAGTCTGATAAGGGAAGCTGGAGCTGTCGTGATTCTCACAAATTGTCCTGATCTCGAGCCCTTCACACAACCAAATCTTCAAAGGTAATGATAGGGACATTGATGACGGGTGCCCGGTAATGATATCAGGGTAGTATTGGATTAATACTGGGTGTCGAACAGGCGCGGGGGAGGGCACACATTGGCCTTAAACGCGGAGAATCACCTATAAAGAAGCAAGCTGGATGGACTCCCTGCCTTGTTCCAAATAAAGATGGTGTTCTAGTAGGAGAATCGTTATAGAGGAATGGGGTCGAAGGTTCACGGCGAAAACACCCTGTCGGTGATAAGGCTTTATAATAGGGTTCCCCGTGTGATGCAACGCGACAGTGTGCGCCAGCCGACTTCTTTAATACAATGACGTTAGCCGTCTTCGCGATACTATAAGTTTCACACTTTTTATTACATTTGCAACCCGTGTTATCGTTGCCGAACCCATGATGTAGTGATATTCCCATTTGCTGCCTTGTATACAGAATATATAATTGAAAACAGCTCATGTTGATGTTGACTATCGGATTTGTATCAATCTAAACTGCCTGAAAATTGTTTATTGTTACTACCTCATGCTATGCACCTACACATCTTAGGTTCTGTTTGGTGTACGTTGTGTCACACACCTTGTTCTAAATAAAAGTTCGCAAGTATCTTTTAGCTTAGGGTTGTACTGCTCGAAACCTTCGTTGGTAATGTTGGTTTGTTCAATATACATCATTATTTGAATGAGTATTTGTCCTAAGTGTTCACTTCGCTAATCACAAAAGTTTAAGGTTCACCGACAATCCAACACTCCCACATCGATGGTAAGCTTTTCCCTTCTTCAACAGCGGTCATTTTAACAAGTGCAAGTGTATAAGCTCTTATTTTATCTTCTTCCAGCCTGTTTTGTCACTCGAGTTGAAGTGCAACATGACAGGAGTCACAGATTTCACACCGAGTGACCCTGAAAATCATCGGTGGTTCCTAAAGGTGCGTTCAATCCATGAAAATTCCCCTAACCCATTACGAAAAGCGTACTGCAATATGTGCATTATGAAGGAGAACTTGTTCAATTTCCACAGCTTTTTATGAAAATACATGGTAATCCTTGGTCACGCCGGCGCGTGCTCCCCAATCCTCTCCTTCCTCCTCTGCCCTTAGCACAAACGACCACCTTAGGTGGTGGTGCGGGAATTGGAGGGAGGAGATACTTGACAACACGGCCTGGCACTATTCACCCTTTACTGCCCCAGTCATCCGGAAGCCGAGCCAGTTTTTGACCGACTTTTTTCTCCGTGGACAGATTTGGCTCAAATGTTGTCTCCTAGGGTAGTTTGACCTCCTGAATACGAATATCGCACTTGCTTGGTCCGAAACCTCCTGGCGCCGGCGCCACAGGCGCTGGTGATTTTGGATATTTTGGCGCCGGCGCCTGTGTCGTGAGCGACAGGAGGTTTCGCACTGAGCGAATTTGATTTATGTTCAAGAGGCCAAACTACTTCAGGGGACAAATTCTTAGCCAGTTCCGTTCTGGGAGAAAAAATTCGAAGTTGAAAACTGGCCAGATTTTGGATGATTGGAGCGGTAATGGGTAAATAGTGCCCACGGCGTTTTTCGGATCAAGCACAATGCCTTAAGGGAACCCCGTCTCGTTCTCTACCACTTCTAATCCACAGGTATAAATAGTTGAGAGATTTTGAATAGTTGTCAAGAAGAATGGAAAAGGCGGAGGAAGGGAACACGCCAAAAAAAGAAGGTTTCGTAGGTTTTAGTGACACGGGGTGATGCTGTACCATGCTCGGAAAGCGCAAACAGTCAGAATCGACATGGCTCAGTCTGGCTGCGTACCCTCTCGCCCATCTATCGCAACTCAGCACTGCAGCACGTCCTTTAATTTTTTCTCTTTTTTTTTCTCGTTTGGTCACCTTAGCCTATTATATACAGGGGGGCAAAAAAAGTCACTTCGACCGAGTCACATATCAGCAAAGTTTTCGCAGCCCAGACAGAGGACGTGGATACGAGTACCAGGGCGGAAGATACCCAAGATGTTCCTCGATAAGCAGGAGCTGGCTCTCGCCCATCACCTTCATGTACACCAAAATATGAAGTCATCTCCAGTCGCAGCCTGACTGGAGAAGACCTTTGGAATTCATGTCACCTCCAAACAGCTGCGAAACTTCTAGTATGGAGTCACCCATGGATAGCTACCTGGAGACCAGTACTCTCGATCTGGATGACCTCCAACATCGAGCAGCTCCGACAACGTCGCCACGGTCTAGGACATCATCTTCACCGCAGTCGCCAAGGCGCGGGTTGATGGTATGGACCGGACGTACCTGGAATGGAAAGACCAATATTTTCTTCGTGGCCCCGGACTGAAGGTGAGCGCTGGCGGTTACATTGGGCAACTCGTGAAGAATATCCTCCTCACATGTGGTCGCCCGTACCTTCTTGGAAACTTTGTACTGCTACAGCATTGGGTGCCACCACATGAAATCGAAGGGCGTTGGAGAAACACTCGCCTACTTGGAATGGAAGGGGCTGAGTACCTAAAGAAGATGGAATATCCAAGTAGGTCACCTGACCTGAATCCCCTCAATTACCCGGTTCGGGCGGAGTTCAATAGGGTGGTCTACGGTGGCGGAGAAATCGACTATCTCGCTGATCTCAACCACCACATCGCGCCTTCCCGACGAGCGCGCCATCGAGAGATTCTGGCGGTCGCGTGCCAAGATCTCTCGATGGCGCTCGTCCGGAAGGCTGTGGCGAGTGTCATGATAGTATTTGATATGCTCTTTAATATGGTGGTAAAATGTCCGATCAGAATTTAATAAAGTGTAACTTATAGCGCCTCGAAAGTCAATGAAGAAAAGTGACTTTTTTTTTGCCCCCCCCTGTAGTGCAATTTCCTATGATAGTGATAAATCATGATTACAGTTCCGATGCATGAACTGTGGAGAATCCCGTGACTACTGGCAGTACGTGGTTATAAATGTGAGTGGACAGTCGTTGTTTACATCTTTCAGCGTCGTGAAATCGCGTTATACATATATGTGTAGGAAGTGCTGGAAGTTCCTGGCAGTCGTGGCGAGGCGAATCTCGTTGAGAAGTGTAAGCTCTGCAATCGGGTGAACACAGTTGGTAAGTGTTCAGAGATTGCTATGCAGATTTTACTGATATCTTGAAAAAATTTCGGTTAAGCTCATTCACAGGGCTTGGCTTGTGATATTTTCGGGGTTGATGGTGGATTTCATGCCGCACATTCAGGACAGAAGTACACTCGAAGGAGCCATGAATACCTCATGTGAGACATACTCCTAACTGTGTAGTTGCTTTGCAACCGAAGTTAGTGTGAGATTAGACTGATTACCCGCCCGTACGCCCAGCGTAAAATTCGCCTTCAAGCGTTCTAGTCAAGCGACTTCCAACTGAGTGCAGAAATTCAAGTTCACGAAGATGCATGTCAAATGGGTTTTATGTTAAAAATCCTTTCGATATTCCCTTTATAGCTATCATCCAAGACTCCATTGGGAAGTACGACGCTGCTGATCATAATGAAGAATGGCAATCCATGATTCAGCTAGACTGCCGTGGCTTGGAACCAATCGATTTTGATCCGAGGGTATGGTGAACTTTTCAATGCACTTTAGTAGAAGCCTAAAGTGGTCCCAAACGAGTATACTCAGCGTCATCTAATGGTTGAGCCAGATGGTGTGGAAGAAGATCTCCGTAAACCCACATTTGGATTACATTCGACACAGCGCCATCACCTTTTTTCGGTTTTTTGGTATACGATGATGTATTATCTGTTCGGTGAATCCGATGCTAGCATCCGTACGTTAAAAGTACAGATCATCGTCTTGATGCTTGGCAGCTCATTTCTCCATTGACCCTGAGATTTTTGAGGCGTCTCCCGATCGGTCCAGTCCAACGCCGTCCTGTCGGCAGTTCCTTTCGGGTCCACGGAAATGAGGCTCATAGCTGCAACTGTTTATTAATTACCTACGCCTACCTTGCTAGGCTTCGGGTGCCGTCAATGTCAGCCGGTTAGACCGTGTCCCCCTACGCCACCCCGAGACTGCGGTTAGGATTTGTGGCTTACTAGCTTTGTAGAAAGGACCCACTCCATTGCACATTTTTCCTTTAAATGCTCAAAGTATTAAAATTTCAGATGGGATGGACTGCCGTCGGCACAGAATCTGGGACGGTGTTTGATGACATCGATCTTTCTGAAAAGGTACATTTCAGCTGATGTTTCTTTTCTAAGCTTTCCTTAACAGCCATTTTCACATTCTTTAAAAAAATGATCGAAATTCTTTAATTCATCACGTTATTTCTTCTCTTATGAAAGCTGACGAAGTTGTCATTACAGGCGTGGGCCGACTATGACGAGAAAGCCGGTGAGGCTACGGAAATCAGCGATATTGAAGTGCGATTTGTTCATGCTAAACAGAAGTAACGCAATCCCCCAATGTTTGGCATCATTTGTGCTCCTTTGAGCTGTTCAATTTTTTCTGTACACGACTAGCGATTCCGTCGTTCCATGCGTGTGACAGGTCCTTCCCATCTGTTGGGTGCTTATGCGTGTTTACAGTGTTTCCAGATGTTGTTCATCTTGCGCCTTGCATTCCTTTTCTATGCAATGTTAACCGGTGTTTGTAATTAAATAATCAACGAATATTGTTCGGTTAATATCTGGCGAGAAGCCGTCTGATGACTGCCATTTTTTTTGCCAGTGATAAGCAGGACCAGTAATTGGAGTTTTTTGGCAGTGTTCGTTCCGTTGATTTGCTCAGTAGCTCCAGAGTAGGTCGGCAGAGGAGCATCCAGAAGCTCCTGCAATACCATGATCGACATAAAGAATGAGAGGTCTT